AAAGTAATAATAAGTAATAAATAAGAAGTGAAAGATCATATAGTAAGTACTTAAAGGATAAAAGAATAAAACTCTGGACGTTGATCAATCCCTGAGGGATGCGCTGTGCATTTGACCTCATTAAGCATCGTTTGGAAGTGACTGAATGCATATCTGGCCTTTACAATGACTCGTAGTGGCCTACCGATGTATCGAGCTAGTGCTACTATCCTCCCAGATAAGTCTGGTGCCAATTTTTTGCCAACCTTGGAGGGATGGCAGACAAGGTGGAAAACGGATGCGGGGTCGATTTCACAGGTGTCTTGCAGGGCGCCTCCGACCACTGCGCCACACGCGCCCTTATAGTAAGTACTTAGAATCTTCAATGTTCCATCTTAACGAATGGTACGAGCCTCAGAACAATTTTCAACAGCTTCATTAACTGGCGATTTCAGCGTAACCGCTCTGCAATTCATAAATCGTATCCAGTTAGCGAGTACAGCTGGTTGACAATGAGATATTAACACGTCTGTCTATCCTTTAAGAAGCATCACTTAACGAGGCATATATCGTCGTGTGATCGAACCATTGTCCGCTTTGTACATCTGCCCCGAATCATCTGATCTCACCGCTCAATAGCCTTTTCGGTTACGTCTGTTCTAACCATAGCAAATAAAAAATAGAGGGTAAATCGTTCCGCCTTGATCCTAGGGATGTGCTATGCACTCCACTCCATCGACCATCGTAGCAGTGACTGAATGAATACTTAACTTGAATAACAGGTTGCAAGAACTTTTCTAAACATGACGTGACGTCACAAATCATTTTGTGCGGATTTTAGCACATCTTACACTCTACTCGATCCCTCGCATCCACCATTCGCGGAGGTCTTCAAACTTCTTTTGCGTGTGGATTCGGCTACCGTTCGTGAACTTTCGTCTTCGATGTGAATGTCATTGAACGCTGTTCCAGTCAATTCTCCTTGGAATCGCGAGATAGCCGCCCTATGGCGTTCCCACGTAGGTTGGATAGACTGTGTTGCTTCCAAAAGTCTGGTAACGATTTCCCAAGCACGGAAGGTTAGTAGGCTTAGTGGAGCCTTGGGTTTGCAGTGGACCTCTGGTTGTTTCTACACTGGATAATTCAATGCGTAAACTTTTGCATATTTTCAATTTCATTTCATGAACGGAAAGAAAAAGAGATCAACTGGTAGAATTTCTACATGGTTTCAAATTCAGCAATGGTAGCAAAACATCTGAAAATAATATTCATCATAAAGGATTCGATGTGGCTCTTTCTTTTCGCTCTTGGCCGGCCACTGAACTAATCGTAAAATCCGTCGCCGTCCCGGATAAATTATGAGTCGCAAGGCAGCAAACCCTATCCTCACCAGCTCTCGACAAATTGCAGTGAGGACCAGTAAACGTCTGAGAAAGGCTTTCTGGCGATCTCAAGGAATAGATCAATGTCCAAAATGTCAATCAGGATAGAAGGTAGCAGACCCTTAAAAACTGCAATTTAGCCCGTGCATAAACCCGATCGCTTATATTAACATCGGTTACGAAAGAGCGAAACAAATGGAAGAAACCCAGTTACTTGGGCATATGCACAAAAGGTTAGCAACTCGTTGCACTCTAACCAGATGACACAGATCTTATCTACTACCATCAGATATTGGAAAGGAAACCCGACCCACATCAATTCCAATGCTCTTATATGAGATGTCATTACCATCTCAACAATGACAGCGGGAAACTTCTTTCATTTCTTGATATTTCCGTATTAGCTCAAAGATCTTATACACGTCATACAATCGGCTCTTAAACTGGTAAATTTCTAGCAACGAGTAAGCTAGACCGATTGATCGGACTCATCCGAGGACACAAATGGACCACTCATGAGATAAGATAGCGGTTCCCCAAGTGCTGGAAATGAGACTAGATATGCTTCAAAATCGGTTATAGATTTGCCTTGAGATCTACCTGAATCCCCAGGATTGCACATCGTTTCAGTAACGTGATAAAACATGTCCATACCTACACAGTCATAGATCCGACCAAAAAGAAAGCTCATAATGCAGTGGTTATAAAGTACGCGTGAAGCAGTCTAGAACACCGTACAATCAACAGGCATTGATTTAATCTCATGGAAAAACCAGAGAAGATACTCCTGGATGCATCTGGCCTACCACATAAGGGCCGGTGTTAGCTCTGCCTATGGTCTCGCCAAAAGCGACAACAATACCAAACTTTATATGTGGCCGAAATCTAACTTCTACCTACTCCCCACTATTACTATTCCTCACGACAGGGTATTATGTGAAACACAACCACTTTGATGCCCAGATCTCTGCAAACCTTGGTGCCCAGGCCAGATTGAAGTACGATTACTCTGTCAGGAGACAAACATGTTACGCTCGGCACAACTACGGCCCTCTTGACTTTCTCTCCACCTGTCTTTCTACACTAACGGTACCATCAGCAATCAGCAGTCACCGGAATGATGTGGGAGCACAAAGCGGCGGTAAACCCAGTTAAAGTGGAGCTGTATTCAAAATCACAATATTTAACTTTTACCTCATGCCATTACTTTCTCCATTGATAAGGTAATCGCTGTTCGATTTGACCTGGGGTCCAACTATTGCAACTATCTCGGCGTCATTGTGGTTCTATATTAGGCTTTGACCCTCTTCGTGTTCATCGAATGAGCGAATTTCTTCCGGATTACTATGTCGCATAACAACGACGGACGGTCAGTTCGGATTTTTCGTAGCTAAAACGATTCTAATCGATAGTTCAGTTTAGTACCAGAGGCTCCTCGTTCCTTTGACGTTTCATGGCAACACCCGATTCATCAGATAATTGATTTGGGATACCTCAATACTATTAAATTTCTCAGTTTAACAGAGGGGAGCAACGTTTATAAAAGTGCAATCACCACAAAATCTTGCAATTTAAAACACCGGAATTTGCACCAGCTCAGCAAAAGTCGGCGGAAAAAAAGTGGAAGACAAGTCGGTTAAATGATTTTTCAAAAATTTTATAAGGAATATATCATGGTCAAGTGATGGTCGGGAAACGCTTAACAAATACACAATGTACGAGCAAGACAAAATGAGCGAACAAATCACTCTAATATTAAAATGATCAATTCAAAAACGGAATGGATTCGCACGATTGAAGCTAAAGGAATTCTGAAGACGACACGCATGACGGACGATGGTATGTTAACCATCAAGGCAGATCTGAAAATATAAACATAGAGCCTAGTTGGAGCAATTTCTCAGTTACCAGAATGAACAAAAGTTCACCCCAATGCCTCTTTGGACCACGTATTACGATAAGGTTTACTTTTCTTTTTCGTTCGACTAGGTTTTCTTTATAAGCCTCCTACTGGTTTATCGCCTCATTGTGGCTGCGAGGTGTTCATGGGTATCGGACTGCGATGTCCAGCGGGGGATTCATCACCAGTGGAGTGATCCCAGGCTGAGAAGTAGTCCGGTATTTTCATCAGGGAGCCCAGTTAAGAGTAAATCAATACCAAGACCGACCACCGTCCTGATATCAACGTCGCATGGTGACAAATCTCCTTCTGATCCACAAGGGCACCGACGGCTGGTGGTTGTGACGACCTGGGGCAGACTTTGGACAGGTTGATCTCTACATTCCAGGAAAACACAATGGCTAGATAAGCAAAACTCCGAAAAATGGAGATTATGCTGAAGCCCACACAACTAGACGTACCCCAAGTATCCAAGTAACTAGGTACGAAGGCCAGGAAATATTCATATATCCATAAACTGCTAAATCCCTTCCATCGTTACAAACAATGTAGCACCAGTAGAAGAAAAAAGGAAGAAAAGTCTATCAAGGCACTTAATGCAAATGCATTTCAGTGCATGACAATGCATTAACGCCTAGAGGTCTCCTCCCTGATATGTCAAGTCCGTGATGTTCATTGCTTGATGCTCAGAAAGAAACAGTTCTTGTTTCCCAAACAACTAGAAGAAAGAAATCAGCGTAAATGGCTAAACTGACGACAGCAACTCAAACGCCCAAAGTCTTACTTTGCCATAAGACTGGTTTAAATTATTAAAGGATGAAGGATAAAGTTGTCGGCATTGATCAATCCCTGAGGGATGCACCATGAATTCGACCTTATTCATTAGGCCATTATCGTCATTATCAGATCATCGCATCATTAGAGGTGATCGAATGCATATGTGCTCTACCGATGTATCGAGTCAGTGTTGCTACGCTCCCAGACAGGTCTGGTAATAATTAGCTGACACCTGAGAGATGGAAAGCTCGGTGAGTTACGCGTGCGGGATAGATCCCAAGTGTATGACGGGGCGCCTCTAACCACTGTGCTACACCCGCTCCGTTTAAATTATCGCTTTCCAAAATTTGTTTTACATAGCTCGCCATCACACCTATTGCGCAAAACCCAACAGTTCTTGTATGCCACTCGTTTTCCCCCCATTCACCGTCCACAAAAGCCCTCGAGCGTTTCGCACATTTCTTCACCTCTTGCTTGAGAACGTCGTCTTCTTTATAGCTGTCGAAGAATGGTGGTCGAGTCGATTCTCCTTGTAGGCTTGTAGATAGCCGTTCTAAGGCGTTATCACGTGGAGGAGAATGTTGGGAGGGTTCTAATCGGTAGACTGTTCCTCGTGGAGTGCATCACCAACTCACCACGTTACCCAACTAGTACGATCACGTTAAATTCCCCAGTTGAGGAAATTTTCTTCCTTACACTACAACAAACACCTCCATTACTAGACAAAGACTTTTCACTAGATTACAGAATCAAAGAAAATAAGCTGTTGGAGTAGAAAATTGTATCAGAACAACAGAAACCTCCCTAATCGACTTGCTATTAACCTAATGGCTAATTTTCTACTCTATCGTACTACTCTGTACACAAATATTTCAGCTTTCTCCCCTAAAAAATGAAACCCAATGAATAGGAAAACCTGGAATACCAAATGAAAGGAAAAGAACTCACTATTACGATACAGCTTAATAGCCGATGCTTTCCAGATACTTAGCCAACTTCTCAACGGATGCGCGGACTTGAGCGGATACTTGATTTTCACCTTCATACACAGCTATCAGTACTGCGGACTTCGTCTTAGCAGCGAAGAATCCGCTTTTGTCCTTCTTGCCGAAAATGAGGTTCTCTTCCGTACGCGGTACGATGTAGTGCACATCTTCCAGATCAGCACCTTGTGCCGGAACGTCGCTCAGATTGTCGAAAAGCGAAACGAATTTCTTCAGCTCGGCTTCCGTAGCGCTGAAGGTGTTCGCGTCCTGGGTACGAGCCCATACGGCGCCACTCGTGCCGTCAACGATGGCGGCGCGCTTGATCGCTGGAGATGCTCCCGTTATCGTGTTGATGTATGCGTCCCAGCCCGACATCTAAATATAACCCTGAATAATTCGATATACGCTCAGGAAATCGATAAAGTCTGAATTCGAGAGAAAAACGATTATGGATTCATGTACTACTCATTCACAATAGCAGACGTTTCAGCGGATCTTGATAGGCTAATCAAGAAAATAGCGAGTTACCTATCAAGGTTAACGGCCTAAGTGGATAGAAAATCGGTTTTGGGAGGAACCACGGAATAACAGAAGTAGAAGAGCTAGTAATTCCTAAACAAAAACCTTCAAGGATTACAAAACCTCGTCCTGGCTTAAGAATCTGGAAAAAACAATGACTACAATATGTTTTAAGCAGTGACGCACAAACTACTTGCATTTCAATAACTGTCGAGATATTAAATTAAAATGTTAGAAATGTCTTTTTATTCAAGTGCCTTCTAAAATTGAGTGCATCTTGAGAACAATCTAACAAAATCTTCAGGTTATGATGTAATAATACCCTGAAACCACTTTATGAGGATAGATATTGATCGAAATCTTCTACCTGTCAGGAAACGAGCACTTTAAGAAACATGTCCATACCATTTTTAACCTATTTTTCCTAGACTCTCCTTAGTTCTCCCTAGGAGAGGCAACATTCGCGCTCCAATACACATCACTGCTATGACTATTTCTAGAGAATTCCATAGAACGATGGGGCAAATATGGATTGTTATAATCGAGGATCGCAAACACTAAGATTTTTAAAGATTGTTAAGACTGTGCTTCTCACATTAGAGAGGTTCTTCACGTAAATTACTCAAGATCATTAAAGCAAGAGCTGAAGGTGAAAGCAGAAGCTCAACAGACCAAAACACACCGTCACGTCACCTAAACAGCATGAAGAAAAACTAGCGCTATCAACTAGACGACTCGTTTGACAGTTATTTACATTCAACACGGAATACAGAATGAAGTCAACCGCTGGTCGATTATGAGTCATATCGGCAGCGGTGGCCATCAAAGTGCTTTAGCTGCTTCGAACAGAAGACATAAATACAAATGAAGTAACAAGACTGTAGATTCTACAGAGAAAATGAGTTCCTTTGAATGGCCAGAAAGTCGGAAATCACTGACAGCACTTACTACCGCGCTAAATTTGACCACCCACAGTGCACCGGGTCATAGGTCAGAGCTCTCCCTCCCACGCGATGCCTGCCATATCAATAACAGTTTCGAGAAACTAACAAAGTCATACAAGAAAGGGATTACTACTTAGCTGGACCGCATCCACAAGAACACTCAACGACGACGACGACGAAGAAATGGCTGGTTCCGCTGCGAACAAAAAATCTGGCACTGCGCCATCTTTTGAATTACGCCCAACGCTGTGGCGTCTGCGTATCGACACACGCCATACGTAACACGTAACGCATGAGAGCAAGCGCTGCGTGCCAGTTACCTAAAATGTGAGCGTTTTTCGGGTGTTTTCATCTCTGGTTCCTTCCTGAGATCTCCAAACGATCGATACTGATCGTGATGTGTTTCCTTCTTCTTTCGCGAAGCTTCTGAACGATCGACTTTGATCTTCATGATTCAGTTATCTTACTAGGTTACTGTAGGTTTTTACTGCATGTTTTCAAGTGTCTTTTCAGTTGAGAATGATCGATATTCCTATAAGGGATGTTTAAGATACGAATTGTACTCAATGCAGTATTGTCTATCGTTACATTGTTAAGGTTTTCACTAGGTATTCTTCCGTGGGCAAGCTAATGTGGGGTTGATAGAAAACTCTGTCCGGCTAACGTTTTCGTGTTTCCGCCTTCTTCAAAGCCGTATTGGTCCGGGCAGATCAGCAGTCGTCCTTTCGCTCAATGTGAGTGATGCGGAGTCGCTGCAACGTCGGCCGAGTAAGTTTCCCTATGAACCTCGCATTGGCTTATCAATGGAAAAGATGCATACTGATTAGCTATACCGAGATTGAAGGAAAATCGGCCTTTGAAACAGTTTATCACTCTTATCGCGTTTATATTGTAATGTTTTTATTGTATAAGATTAGGCAGTAAACTAATAACATGTTTCTACGTGTAAGTGCTATTCCTTTTCAGATAGTTTTTCGTCCAATCCATTCAACGTATTGGGTGTGTTATGAGAGAAAAGGTGAGTTATTGCGTTTAGTCAATCACCAATAAGACTTTATCGTTGTTCGCAACAAAGTGAAGGAGAAACCATTTCGGTCTAGTGGCGTAAGAAGCGCATGCGTCGTCTGAAGCGCAAGAGAAGAGCCCAGAAGAAGTAGACGGCGGTGGTCGTCGGACGCTGCTCAGTCGTGATCGTGGTACCTGTCTTTCGTTACGGTGTGTACTGCGTCTAACCTTAACCTATATACTGCTCACGTGCTGATGAGGCTATGACGCAACTGCTATTGTTTTTCGATTGTTGTTTTCGAATTCGTGAATGAATCTTTATTTCTTTAAATGTTGACCTTATCAAATTCAAAGTGACTGTCTTGTTGTTATTGGTTCCCGAGTGTCGGTAATGGATGGTGCTGACAGAATGGTAACAAAGATGCCCGCTGTGATAGAGAAGGCGAAGATCACAAGTAAGATTCTGTCGATTACGAGAGATATGAATTGCCAGTCTGCTTCCATCTGTAATGTGAAATCTATGACACCTCTTTTTGTTGACTAGCTGCAAAGTAAAAGCGCTTGAAAGTTGTTCAAAAAATGAGAGCAGAGGTGGAGGTGTTGGTGTTTATAAAGGAATTGGTAAAAGCTTCTAACGTCATACATTTTAGTGGACCTTCAGCTTGTCCTTAACACGATGTGGAAGAGAACTACGTCTGTTGTGCTGCCAGTAGTGGCGTTCGACTAGGGGCTTATTCAAGGGTAACATTTCCACGCCATTTTACCTAGTAGTTCTCAGGATTACACGATAAATAACGATATGTTCCTCCTAACGGTTTATCGCCTCATCTCAGTCGGGCTGCGATGTACAGCGGGTGATTTCTCCCTTGGTAGGATCCCCCAGGATGAGTCCGGCGTTTGAACCAGGAAGCCCAGCCAAGATTAAACTACCAGGACCCAACATCCTCTTGGTATCAAACTAACGGCATGGGGGCAAATGCTCTGATCCATAAGCGCGGCGACTGCTGGTGGTGGTGACGACCTGAGGCAGACTTTGGCTAGGCTGATCTCGGAACTCCAAGGAATCACAGTGGAGAAACCAGCAAAATTCCGAAAGAATGCACATTATGCTTGGGCACGCACGACCAGTGAAGACGGACCGTCCAAGTATCCAAGTAAGTCCTCATTGATCCGTCAGCGCATGGTTTAGATCATACTCAGCAACGTTCCTCTGTGCTTCGATACTCCATCCATTCAATGACGCTACCGTGTGTACAGTTATCGGTTTAAGTAATAGCATAGGATGGCACTCCAATTTCCCGTTCATATTTTTGTGGGTGGTTGTTCCGGTGGAACATTCTGTCCTGGAATTCCAAATCTGTAATGCGTTCTTGATTGGGCATCTCTAGAGGGGTGTAATGCGTGGGTTACTGAAGCGATTTTCAGGCCAAGTGGAGTTATGAGATCCAAAGAGTATGTGAGAAGCGAATACTTCTCGTCTTATTCTCGATACTGGCGCCGTACGCTTACCAAGCCTTCCATCCCTCCAGGGTCGGCGAATTGGTACCAGACTTTCCTGGAAGGATAGAAGGCACGATGCATCGGTAGGTCACCGCGAGTCATTGTAAAGTCTGCCTTTCATATGCATTCAGTCGCCTGTAAAGATGTCCAATGAAGTTGAATAGTTGAATATATGGCGCGTCCTTCAAGGGTTGATCACCCGAGAGCTCCTTTTAAAAATGGAGTTCATAAGTTCAACAAATGATAAGGAAAGCGATATCTATGGTGCCGTGCAATTTCTGATGAGTTTGGTGACGACATAGATATGTTTGACCCTGTTGAGCAGTTTCCGGAGCTAGGTTTTGTTTGAGTGTCTTCTTTGCCCAACTTTGAGGATACCACTTAAAGATGGCCGAAGATATACAACAGTAGGTGTGCATAGTGATAGTTTCCAATACAGTTTTACTCTCCGTTCCTCTATAGTAACCAGGTCGTACTACTTTATTTATTCGATACCTTTTATTTCGATAAATCACATGAAGATATGGGCCGGTAAGACCATAACATGGAATGCCTTCTTGAGGTATTTGGATCTCATGCTGTCAGGACCAGGTAAAGTATGTTTTTTGCTGGCAGTACCGTGTTTGATTCCGGAAAACAAGCCTGGAAGGATGGTGTACTAATCCGGCATGGTTCGTTATGTTGATGGGTTCATGTGAGAGGTACCAGTACCAGACGTAGTGTGGTCTAGAAGGATAATTCGTTCTTTTCTTTGCAGAGTTTCACAAACCCATTGGCTGAAAGAAGATATTTGTGTTATTCGTACGATCTACAATCCTGGCACTTCTGAGGTGTGAAATAACTTTATCGTACACATTATTAGCGTTTTTGTGCTGTTACTAATTCCGAAGATATTACTCTATGAGTTTGAAAGCGAAGGGTGTCCATCTATAGGTCGCTCCTGTGATTTCTCCGTCTTCCTCCTTTTGCTTGTCTCATCAGTAGGTTCTGTCAGGGCTAGTTTTTTTTTGAGTTGTGAAGCGTTTTTGTTCAAATTTCGTCTTCCACAGCATTGGTGTGTCAGAATAAGAAGCCTAGTCTTTTCTTAGTAATTTTGTGTTGTATTTCTGGCGAATTAGGGGCTTGTGCATCGTAGTGGTCGGAGGCACTCTGCAATGCACATGGGATTGATCCCGCGCCCTAGGCACACAAAGCCTCTCATCGCTCTGGGGTCAGCGAGTTGGTACCATACTTGTCTGGGAGGATAGAATCACTGGCTCGATGCATCGGTAGGCCACTAAGAGTCATTGTAAAGGCCAGATATGCATTTAATCACCTTCTAACGATGCTTAATGAAGTCGAATGCATGACGCACCCCTCAAGAATTTATAAACGCCGAGATCTTTTTTTTAATAGGATTGAATTAATATCACTATTTAGATTCTGACTAAATGAGGTTCTGACTTTCTTTTCAGCTGAGAATTTGTGAAAACATTACTTGGCCAGGAGACAAAGATGGTCACAAACTTGACTAGAAATGAAAAGCCCTACTTCTTCAGCCTGACGCCTTTCGGTAAGAGTCTGAGCGATGTACTGCACATTATGTTCAGCTCGTCGCAGTTTATCTCGGACGGCACTGGCAGACCACGAGAGTTTTTTGTTCTTGTCGAATGTTCTTCCTATGTAAGTACTCCATTTGCGATTTAATTTATCCGTCCTGAAAAGCCCAAGAATTTTCCCTATTCAAGGTATCCCGATTGCCAGGTTTTACTGATTCTACTGGTTTCATTATACTTTGCGTTTTAAAGAGTAGCCAAACACGAAGCAGCTACTAAAACAACAAGCTTAGGAAGCGTTTAGAATTTGTTCGGTTTTGCGTCATTATGAATAGTATACCAGTGACGTGAAACATCGAGAAAGTATGAGAAGATGACGACTGATACGCCGATTGTCATAGTTGCATTGTCCACCGAAAAAAATTCCAGAGTCGTCACGACCGTTGGATATTAGTTGGATACTTGGATGGCCCGTCTTCACTGGTTATGCAAACCACAACATAATTGCCACTTTTTCGGAGTTCTACTGGTTTAGCCAGTGGTTCCTTGGAGTCACGAGGTTAGCATAGCCAAAGTCTGCCCCAGGTCGCCACCACCGCAGGTAGTCGCCGCCCTTGTGGGTCAGAAGATGATTTGCCACCATACGACTAATTTGATATCAGGATAGTGATGGATCTTGGTATTGGTTAACTCTTAGCTGGGCTTCCTGATGGAAACGCCAAACTCCTCAGTTTGGAAGGCCTTGCTGGAGGATGAATCCTCCCGCTGCACATTGCAGCCCAACACCCAGGAAAGCTTCCCAGCCACGATGAAGCGCTAAACCATTGGGAGACCACCGGATGTTTGAAAGATAAAATTGTGTAGCAAAATATTAGGGTCATTTTTCACAATTATCTTATTAGAAGTTTACCAAACAGTGAACCTTACCCCGTCTATGATATCTCTTTCTATCAAGCTTTATTCGTTTTAAAAGTTTCTTCGATGTGAGCATAAGCGCTATGTATAACCGGTATAGTGAGCTATACTCTTGTAGAGAGTAGTTAACCATTTTTGGAAGTCTTCTTCGCTCAGCTGTGATAAAAACAAACCCAAGGTTATAGGTTTGAGACTGTCACTTGAGAGTTTGTTCTAAAGATTCCAAGCAAAGACACACATGATTCCAGAAATGGTGTCCGCCTTGACGCTCTTCGAACGGTTTAGCATCGGTAGACCGAGAAATAATGAGTTCACCGTCGACATTGCTTCCTTTTTGTTCTTCGTTGCCATTTCTACATCAAATACGGCCTTGTGAAATTGCCTTTGTAGAATCCACATCGCTGACAAGGCATTAATTTGCTGAAAATAGGATCAGAATCTACGCAAACGATGACAAAATGACAATGCGATGGTGTCACATCAAACAGACAATACATCAGCTGAATCACATCTACTATATGTCACTGACGGTGGTGTCCAGCATGATGATAGGAACCATTTGAAAGGTGAGGCACCATGTTTGGAATGTTGTCCACTCATAACCCGGGAGTGATTCTATATGTCCATAAAGAATGATTACCACCAAACGATACTTGTTCGCTGATCGAATGACGTCATTGTAGGATGTACTCGAGAATATAACGATCCATATGAGCTGATTTCTTGGTGGTAGTGTATCCAAAACTTTCTTCACAGCTTGATAAGATGTATTGGATGGGTTCAAAATTTCTAAGTAGGGTTGATTTCGATAGGTACAATGCCGATTTGTGCTCCCCAGATCATTCCCGTTGACAGGTGATTTCTGATAGCACCATTAAGATAAAAACTGGCTGAGAGCATGACAAATCAAAGGCCTCGATGCAGCGGGTAACATGTGGACCCACTGAAAGGGTATTCGTCGGTTCGAAGCTCGTCTGTGTTTCCGAGTTTTGCAAGTATCTTCTTGGATTGCTCGGCACATCATGTAGCTTAACCATTGATTTGTTACTGAGGGGATAAGAGGAAACATTTGTTGAATTTATGGAAAGATCAGATCATATTACTTACTTTGCTGTGCTGAGCTTTCCGGTGAAAATTACCCTTCTCGGTGGCTCTCGAGATAAGCAGCTTGCTACCGAGTTTATCGATGAAAATCTTTCTCACCCAATCCGATATCGGAAACTCCGAGCCGCGAAAGTGCACATTTTGTACCTGTTTGAAAATAAACAGAATTTACATAAGGATGGAAATATTTAACAACTGTAGGAGCATTTTGTTAGATAATTAGCTTTTTTCGTTTATAAAAAAAATATTAAATTAGTGACAATGGCCACAAATGATTGGTGGAAACGTCATTGAAAAACAAGCAGACAAGATACGGTCGAATACTAGCAACATTTCGAGTAAACATTACGTCGTGCCTGTGTTCAGTTCTCTCTTGTTCGTTAAAGAAATGATTCAACTCATTCCGCATATTCTTCCGTAACCAGAAAGATCGAACTAACGATTAACTGGATGAAATTCCTTGACAATATAGCTCTTTCGGTGTGGTTACATACCTTTTACGTGGACACTTGAATGGCCCATTTTCACGGGTTGTTCTTGCCCCAACATAATTTACATTTGCTGGTTTGGCCATTACGGATCCCTGGAGTCCAGAGTTCAGTCTAGCCAAATTCTTCCTTAGGTCGTCACCACCCCAGGCAGTCGTAGCCTTTTTAGATCAGAGGCGGATTTGCCACCATGCGACTACTTTGGTACCAGGACGGTTATGATTCCTGATATTGGTTTACTCCTAACTAGGTTTCCGGATGGAAACATCAGTGTGATTGGTTGACATATACGAGAGGGCTGCGTGTAGCGCAGTAGTTAGAGGTGGTGCCCTGCAATACGCACTGGATCGATCGTTGGTTCGATTCCATGTTCCGGTTCACCAAGCATTCCAGACTTCCAGGGTCAGCATATTGGTACCAGGCTTGTCTTGGATGATAGCAGTACTGAATAAACACATCGTTAGCAAGGGATTGTATAGGACAAATATGCATTCAATCTCCTCTGCGACGTTACGAACGGAGTTAAATGCATGACTCAAGTTCAGGGATTGATCAACGCCAAACTCCTCGTTTTTATCTTTCAAATATTGGCGTAAATATCTATGTTCTTTAAACCAACTCACAAAGACTGTGAACATGACTGATAGCGTAACCATTGTCATCGTGAAAGTGAGATATTTCGCAATGAGAGGGATAGCGATACTTGTTGGCGGAATGATGTCTATCTGAATAGTTAAGAATTTGTGGATCCAAATGGAAATATCATGTCATACTTGTGATTCGATAAATGCTTAAGAGATGTTCCCATACATTTAGTCGATTCGCCAAATGGGTGATATTAACGTCAACGTAATTTCACTTATGCTAAAAATTCCCACTGTTGAATCAATCAGTCATCGCTTTTTTCTTTTCATGTTGATTCAACATAATGATTCATTCCTGACGAAAACTGACTTCTGTACGCAATGGAAAGAGTGGAAGGTTGCTCATTTCTCTCATTCCTATCCTACAAATTCATGCCAAAAAGATGAAAACTTTGGAATCTGGTATGAAATGCAGGAAAAGGTAGAAAAAACGAATAGTCTATAAATATGTGAAGATAGGAGAGTATTTCTTATAATACACTGGTATTGATAGGGCGCTTGTGACGCTGTGATTGGGGGCGCCTTGCAACACACACAAGGGATTGATCCTTACGCCCGTGGGTCACCAAGCCTCCCATCCCTCAGAAATCGCAGATTGATACCAGACTTGTCTAGGAGGAAAGCAGCATCGGCTCGATACATTGGTAGGCCGCCGCGAGTTGTAAAGGCCGGATGTGCATTCAATCACCTCCAAACGCTTAATGAAATCGAATGTATGGCGCATCCCTTAGGGATTGATCAACGCCGAGAGCTTTATCCTTTGTCATTTGTACTGGTACTGATGAACAAAAAAGAACTGCTCGGTTGGACAACTCCGTATTCATCTAAGAGGAGATTACGGTATATTGGAAAGGTTCCTAAGCTGTTACAGTTTCGCGAATATATCAAATATCAGTTTATCACTTACCAGTAATAAAAAGAATACAGTTAATGAGACGAGCACTGAGATACAGAGTTGAATTTTCTGATGGCTTTCGCACGGTAGATAGAAAACCCATGAAGTGAGAGCGGCCAGTGAGGCACACGGTACCACCAGATTCACCGTGTAAAAAAGTTTTTTTCGACGAATTTGCAAATAGTATGTGATATCGATTGATCTGAAAAGAGATAATAGTGTCGTTTTCTTGTTCAGCAATCGCGAGGTTTTTAAACAGCATACATTTACTTCCATAAAAACAATACAATACAACGCTAGCTGACGTTTCGGCAGTATCGCCTTCTTCAGAGCCGCTTTTTCGTGACTTCCAATGAGGAAGTTTAGAACAGCTGATTGTAGTTGCATGTGGTTGACGACTGCCTGAAGCGGCTCTGAAGAAGGCAATACTGCCGAAACGTCAGCTAGCGTTGTATTGTATTGTGTTTTTATGGAAGTAAATGTATGCTGTTTAAAAACCTCGCGATTGCTGAACAAGAAAACGACACATTCATATTCCAATGCCGAGGTTAAGAGAAAGTCGATCCTGGGAACTATTAAGAGATGATAGTGTTTGGGTCACCATTACGGTAACTTCATTGGATTGTTCGCTTTGGTTCTTTTTTTCAGCTACGTTATTTCGGAATTTTCTCGATGCTATCTTAGTGACTGAGTGTTCAGAAGTGGGTGAATGCTTTAATTATCATTAAGGAGTATGCAAGGACTGACTGCTGTGAAAGCCTGGTGGCATTGGCTTAGGAGTGTTAATGGTCATCATAAAAAAATTCATCAAAACAATGTACCTGTAGAAGCTATGGTTACAAAGTTACGGTGTGCGTGTAGCACAGTGTTTAGAGGTGTCGTGCAATACACAGGTGGTAGGTAGTTCGATCTCGTGCCCAGGCTCACCAAGCTTCCCATCCGTTGGGGGTTTGCAAGCTACTACCATATTTGTCTTGAAGGATAGCGGCATGACTTGACACATTGTTAGGCCACCGTAAGTCATTATACAAGGCAGATATGAATTCGTTCACCTATACGACGCTACGAATGGCGTTAAATGAATGGCTCATCCTTCAAAGATTGATCAACGCTGAACGCTTTATCCTTTTTTGATTGAAGAGGTCTTTTAAGCATGAAATCAAAATTATGAGGTAAAATTGTTGGATCGCGTCACTTCATTGAACAACGAGCTTAGTTGGAATTGTATTACTTAGACCAAAGTATTGTCAATTGTTGATTCAAATGCTCGGAAAACTTTCACGATGAAAGCATTAGCGGAAAGTGAATGAAAGAAAGATTTCGTCTTCAAATTTCGTAAAAAGATAAACAGGAACATCGATTAGAGTAGGTTAAATGCTGGAGATGGAGCGCTCTACAATACAAATCAAAGAAAAGTGAAACTTTTCCACCATTTCCCGTGAGGTTGATGAATTCCGCTCAGTGGATTTCCTACGAGAGCAACTTGCTCTTTGTCAAGTCAGTGTTTTGTCTCTCTAGACAAATTGATAACGTTTGCCAGTCCAAGAGGAATGGAGGCCTTAGTTTTACAGGGTGCGCGGGGCGACCAAATGACTACATTCACTGTAGGGCACCCTTGCTTTGATATAAAGATAAAAAGGATAAAGCTGTCAGCGTTGAACAATCTCTGAAGGATGCAACATGTATTGGAGTTCATGAAGCATCGCTGAGGTAATTGAATACGTATTTGGCATTTATATTGACTTGAGGTGGCCTACCGATGAATCGATCCAGTACTGCTCTTCTCCCAGACAAATATGGTACCAATTTTCTGAATCCGGAGGAATGGAAGGTTTGGTGAGTCTGGGGCATGAGGATTGCGATGATCCTACTCTTTCTGATTACAACATTCAAAAAGAGTCAACCCTTCACGTAGTGCCGCATTTCCGTGGTGGCATGCAGATCCTCGTGAAGGCTCTCACTGAAAAAAACCATCAACCTCCAGTTGGAGGCATTTGGCAGTATCGAGAACATAAAAGCCAAAATTCAAGACGGAGGAAATTCCTTTGGACCAATAGCAACTAATTTTTGCTGGCAAGCAGCTTATTTTGAAATATATACTTATTGAATACTTGAATGGTCCGTCCTCACTGGTTGTACGGACCCCAGCATAATTTCCATTTTTCGAAGGTTTGCTGGTTAAAGCATTATGGTTCCTTGGAATCGCGAGGTCAGCCTGGTCAAAGTCTGCCTTAGGTCTTCACCACCATGGGCAGTCACAGCCATTGTTGATCAGAGGGATTTGCCAACATGCGACTTTGATACCAGGACGGTGGTGGATCCTGCTATTGGTTTACTTTTAGCTAGGCTTCCTGATGGAAACGCTGGACTCCTTATATGCTTGGGAAATCATGCCAGGGGATGAGTCTCCGTTGTACATCGTAGTCCAACACCCAGGAACACCTCCCAGCCACGATGAGGCGGTAAACTGTCGGCAGGATTTTCAAATATACGAGTAATGTTGGAGAAATACTCGTGTAAAATTCAGAAATCTTGAGAAGTAACGAGGAGGTTCTATCGACAAATAGAAACATACGCATAATCGCAGCACGGATACCATTTCTCATGACGAGTGCCGAACACCGACAGCAAATCCCATTCGACAGATTCCTCGAAACAATCAAATGTGCAGTATACAGCGAAGTAAAAAAATGGTAGAAAAGATAGCTGGTTAATTAAATCGTTTTGAAAGTATAAAAATTCCTGAAGACCGATAGGAAATTCAACTACAGTGATGCTGAGATATTTGCAAAACTCCGGACCGCAGGTGCCTGCAGTGGGGAACAAACACGATGGTTACCTTTTCCGGTGGCTAACGCGTTCACCACCGCACCATGGGGGTCCTTTGTTTCGCCGTTCTCTCAGCTAGCTTTTCTGCCTAGCGGCGCCATCGGCAATCACCCATCAACGGGATCGAGAAGAAACTGATATAACGTTTAGGAATTTCCTGATCTGTATCTGACCTGATAGCCGGAGACGTCGACACCTATTTGTACATCCCATACGCTATCGTTATTATGCTGTACATAGCGCACATCATCGGAGAGTAGCTGAAAAACTTTCTGTTTTCTTTTTTCTTATTTCTAACACCTTTTGTTACCTGTGACCTAAGTAATCAATAGTTGTGCTGAATTTTTCTATTGCATTAAGATCATTTCGAATCTATCTCGCGTAGTACGACCAAGTTGAATGAATTCCTTTTAAGTACTTCCTCGTTCAGACGAACGCGAAACGGGTGTTAGGGGTGGGCTGCCTATTTCTGCTGTGACTGACTGACTTATATATTCTGCATGTGCCATATATATAATTTATTCTCACGTGTTTTTGCATATACTGGAATTATAGAGTGAGTTAGAATTCAAGAAAAGTCTACAGTCATGCGAATAGGGGAAATATGGGACGCAGTTCCAGATCAGCCTGAAGGAAAAAGTTCCACATAAATTCTAGAGGAGCATACATAGAAAAGCAACAACTACTATTACATTCAGACCTCACGAAAACACGGTAGGCCGCTTTCATGGATGGACGACTTCGTATTCGTCAGTCGAATCGAGTGGAGCAGTATTGGGGCAGCTTTGGCGCACAGATGGGAATAATGGAGATACCTGCTAGAGTCACATGATAAAAGCTAAAAAGCATAAAGCTCTCGGCATTGACCAATCCCTGAGGGGTGCGCCAAGCATTCGACTTCATTAAGCATTGTTCGGAGGTAATTGAATGCACATCTGGCGCATACAATGACTCGTGGTGTCTACCGATGCATCGAAGCAGTGCTTCTATCCTTCCAGACAAGTCTGGTAGCAATTTGCCGACCCCGCAGAGATGGAAGGCCATCTGGGCCAGGGGAATGGGGATCGATCCTATGTGTATGGCAGGGTGTCTCCGACCACTGCGCTGCACGTACCAGTCAACAATCCATCATATTTTCGTCCAATGTTCGCGTGAAATCGTTACCACCATCATGGATGACTGCAGATTCGCTTCGTATTTGCTGTGTCTCGATTATTTTCGATTTTGTCGATTCTACGTGTGTCTCGGTGGCGCCTCCAACCACTGTACCACACGCCTCCCAATCACATGATAAATAACAATATTACGGTGAAGCAATAGAGTAATGACTGGGAAAAGACGGCCTCTAGCTTGATTTTTCTCTTGCGAAATTTGTCCATGTGGATTCTTGAATAAGCCCACCTCAACGGTTGGCTGAAACTGTGAGAGTCGTTTAGCCTATGCTTTTTGTTTTTAGAAGTAACATTCAAGACTGACATGAACGAGATTGAGTTGTGTTCCACTGTATGTCCAACTGCCAAATTTCAGCTCACACTGTTGAACATCGTATGGATACCATTCGATATTGATCGTACAGAATGAGTGGTAGATCACTGGCGGCTCCCACGTCTTTAAAAAACTGCTGCGCATTCATTTTATTCATGTCATCTAGATTTCATTAGCGAAGATCTATAAATTGCCTCAATAAAAACCAACCTTCAATAACTGAGAAAAAAGGAATGAAGGTTATAAAAATATTGATATAATGTTTAACGTTTCGTTTTCTGCCTTCTATAATTTTCATGGCAGGTTACTAAGCGAAATACAACCACAACGTTGCTGAGATATTTGCAAAACTCTGGACCGCAGGTGTCTATGGTGGGGAACGAACG